TAACGTAAGGGGCCTAGATCTTTCACCTCAAATTGAGTGGCTAAGACTTTTTTTAGTCTCCGTATTTCAGCCTCCCAATCTTCTGTGATCATTATGTCATCCACATACACAATAAGAGTTGCGTTTTCCCTTCACCTCTTTTCACAAATAAGAGTGTGATCTGACTAGCATTGTTTTAACCCCATCTGTTGAACTGCTAAATGGAACTTACTAAACCAAGCCCGAGGCAATTGTTTCAACCCATATAAAGATTTTTTAACCTGCACACCTTTTGTTCACTGCCTTTGGCATAGAACCCTGGAGGTTGGGTCATGTACACTTCCTCTTCTAAGTCACCATTCAAGAAAGCATTTTTTATGTCCAATTGGTGAAGTTCCCAGTCAAGATTTGCTGCGAATGAAAGAAGGATCCTGATAGAGTTCATCTTAGCCACTGTAGCAAAAGTCTATGCATAGTCCACTTCACATACCTGTGTAAAGCCCCTTTCTACTAGTCTAGCCTTGTACCTTTCAACAATTCCATCAGCCTTGTGTTTCATTGTGAACACTCACTTGCAACCCACTGGTTCCTTCCCTTTAGGAAGGTCCACCAACTCCCAAGTGCCATTTTTGTGTAAACCATCAATTTCTTCATGCATTGCATCTGTCCATTCAGGTTTAGACAAAGCTTCTGCCACATTCTTAGGAACGGGGACACTATCTACAGAAGAGAGGAATGCATGGAATGAAGGTGAAACATGATCCTAGGACACAAAATTAGAGATAGGATGATTAGTGGTACAATACCTAACACCCTTTCTCTTAGCAATAGGAATATCAAGATCATTGATGACAGGTGAATCAACATTTAGAGGAACAGACATATCAATAGGAGCGAGTGTACCTAACTGATGAGACGGATCTGCCTCTAGTGAATCTGATGATGTTGGTTGCATAGTGTCAGATTCCATGGCTCTTGAACTCTGTTGGCTTTTATGGCGACGATGAAAAACCCAGAATGGAGGAGGATCGGGTAAAGGAGGTAGTTGAGTTTGAGTCGCCTGTTTCTCCTCAACCCTACTCTCCCCCTGAGGAGAAACCTAGAAAAAAGATTGATTCTCAAAGGATACATCAATGGAGACATAGTACTTGCGAGAGGTAGGATCATAGCAGCGATACCCCTTTAGAGATAAAGGGTAACCAAGAAAAACACAAGGAATAGCCTGAGGAATAACCGAGAGGGCATGCGGTTGATGATGTATGTAGCACACAAGACTGCATCCATCCAAAAACGTTTTGGCATATTCATATGAATTAATAAGCCACGAGCTACTTTGAGAAGGTGACGGTTCTTTCGTTCAACAATACCATTTTGTTGGGGTGTCTTGGCACAAGAGCTTCGTTGAAGTGACCCACTCGAACCAAAAAACTCCGTGAGATCACTATGGAAGTATTCCTTCGCATTGTCCGACTGAAAGATATGGATTTTCATTTGGAACCGAGTGAACACCATGCGTTGAAAGTCTTTCACAATTTTTGACACTTCATCTCGAGATCGCATAGGGTAAACCCAGGTGTATCTAGAATAATCATCAATCAAGGTAATGAAGTACTTATATCCAGCCTTAGTGGGTAGAGTAACAGGGCCCCAAACATCAGAATAAACAATGTGAAATGGAAATTCAGACTTTTTATTTCGCAAAGGTAAAGAACTTCTACAATGTTTACTCAATTGACATGTCTGACACTGTAACTGACTCACTGACAAGGACGCAAACAACTTTGGAAACATAACTTTTAATGACTCAAAAGAAAGATGACCTAGACGACTATGCCATAAATAGGCTTGACTCTCACTTGACAAACTCATGGACTCTGTAGCCACAAGACYAGCTTTATTCTCCAACATGTAGAGACCATCCACCATGCTTCCTCTACCAATTGTCTTTACCGAGGCCAAATCCTGAAGCACACATGAAGACGGAAAAAAAAGTGACTGAACAGTTCAAGGAGGAGTTATACTACTAATGGACAGTAAAATAATAGGTAATTTTGGAACATGCAGTACATTAGGAAGGGTAAGGCCTAGTGGGAGAGGTATGGTACCTCGATCAGCTATGGTAGAAAAAGAATCATCAGCTAGTCTCACCTTATCTCTCCCAGAGAGAAGATTATATGTCTGAAATAAATTTGACTTACCGGTCATGTGGTTTGAGGCTCCAGAGTCAATAACCCAAGGAGAATCAGTGGTATGAGATGACACATGGAAGGCAGTGGCAGCATTACCTGATGTAGATGCAAAAGAGGTAGAGGGAGTAGGACCAGAATCCATTTGGCGGAGAGTTCTACCATACAATTCCAAATGTTCACGAAAGGAGTTGATAATTTCTTCCTTAGGGTCAGAATTAGGATGCCTCTCTTGAGTTACCAAAGGACTAGTCTCTGTCGACGCAATATTAGCTGAGTTATACTTTTTCTGATTCTGCTAGCTTGGTTTCTTGCCCTGATCAGGTGTTGACTTCTTACCCAAATCCTGTGCCCATTTAGGTTTTCCATGGAGATCCCAACATGTATCTCCCATGTGTTGTGTCTTCTGGCAGTGAGTGCACCAAAGTTTACTCTTATCATCTATTTTTTTTGAGAGTCGCCTTTTTTTAAAAACACCTTCGACATTTGTATCTGAATTTCCCTGGACAGCTAGGGCAATTGACTCCCCTTCTACACAATTCATCACACTTCTACTCTCTTCTGACTGCACTAAGGCATACACCTCCTGAACTGATGGCAAGTCTTTACTACCCATGATCTGCACCCTGATGGACTCATATGAAGGATTCAGCCCTAAGAGAAAGGCAAAGACCCGTTGCTGAGATACAAGTGACTTATATGCCTTTGCATCTTCATCACACTTCCAATTCACATTCTGATTGTGATCAAGTTCTTTCCATATCGATGTCAAATCAGAATAGTACATCGAGAGACTTCTCTCCCTCTGCCTGCAAGTAGAGGATTCAGCTTGCAGTTGATATATCTTGGCATAGTGTCTCTGCTCTGAATAGGTGGACTTCGCTTGTTCCCATATCTCACAAGCAATTTCAGCCCACATAAAAGTCTTTCTTACCTGTGGCAACATGGAAACCAAGAGCTAAGACATCACCATACTATTCTCTTGGTTCCACCTATATATTCAGCACTTCCGTACTTCAGTTCCTTCACTCTCCCATTGATGTATCCTATTTTCCCCCTAGCAGTGATGTAGAGTTTTWTTCCCCTAGACCACTCAAGGTARTTCAGACCATCAAAGGGAATAAYAGCCAYGGGRAAACTCATATCCATTCCCCCACTCACTCCATTGTGGCTCCCTGAAATCTCTGAAGTAGCAGAATTCTCAAACGACATGGTCAAAACAGACAATCAGTCCCAAACACCGGACTTAGGACCCCTTCTTACTCCACAAAAAAAATGCTCCACTCAGTCCACACCCACACACTTGGGTTTGAAAACAGTTCGAGCACAAACAGTACCAATTTCAGGACAAAAAAAGGCAATATTCGGCAGATTTCAGACCTGTACGGTTTAACAGTCCCAACCTACCAGCCTTCCAGAATGTGTAAGAACATTAATCAGCAGGAGAGATCCTTAACACTTATAATCAAGCCAAATAATTGAGATAACAGATCATCCTTGACCTACAGTCGCCTTAACATAGGAACAGGATCACACRATCCCAAAAAACAGAGGTATAAAGATCTGACAGCATTCAGCAGCCCAGATTCATTTGGTTTTTTCACATGGTACACGACCAAGGAGGGTAAGGAAGAGAAAAAGGAAGGACTGTACCAGTTGTAGATCTGTTTTCCTCAGTCCAGATTCAGATCTCTGTTCCGCCCAGATTCAGCAAGTTGGAAGAGTGAAGTCTGTTCGATTTGTTCTCTCAGTGAAGTTTGTTCGATCTGTTCTCTCAGTCAGTATTCCCGCTCTGATACCATCTTGACAGTGTGGCCGACCAGAAATAAGAGGAAGAGAAGAGAAGAAGAAGAGAGAAGGGAGAAGAGAAGAGAAGGGATTGGCAATGTAACAGTGCTGGCGGCGCCAGCTTTTATTATAATATATATAGGGCGGCAGAAATAAGAAGGGAAAAGACCCTTGTGCCCCTGCTATAAGTGAGTACAATAACAGACATAGCAGAAGTAAAAAAATAGAAATAAAAAACGCTTTAACTAGCCAAACAGACCCTAACACCAACAACTAAATTATTTCAACACGAGATGGAGTGAACCATATTTTTTGGGGAATTCCAGGGCCGGGGTTTCAGATTTGATGTACTTCTGGTATATTGGTTTATATAATTTTTTGTACTCATGACAGCTTTAGCTGTTTGTACCGTCTTCTCTCCATCCTTCAGATACTCAGAAGTTTCTATTTTTAATTAATACATTTTGAGAGTACTGATCAAAAAAGAAAGTTAATGTTCTTAATGATTGATATTTAACAGTAGTTTTTTCTAATAATACTCTTTTTCTGCATTTTTTTGTATTGATCTGGTATTAATGTACTATTAGTAGGTTAATTTGCCTTTGGGTTCTCCCTTTCAATTTATGTTTTTATTGACTTGTAATCTTTCATATTGTCAGATTGCAGCAACCATCATGCCAGAAGATTATCGACACAAAAAGGTATTTCTATGCAACCCCACTTCTTGACTATTAAATTATTTCTTGAATTCGTTTTTTCCTAGCCCTTCATTCAGAACAGATGTCAAAGCAACCCCACTTCCAGACTGTTCAGCATGCACTTTAACCATGATTTCTTGACATGACATATCTGGTGACTATTGGTATGTTGCAGGTGTGGATCCTCTGTAATGACTGTAATGATACTACTGAAACATTCTTTCACATTATTGGGCACAAATGCTGTCATTGCAATTCCTACAACACTCGTATGATTTCCCCACCAGTTCTTCCTCGATGACCAGATTCTGAACTCCCAAATCCAGTCAACTAGGTTCACTTCTCATACTTTGGTAAGCCAAGTTTATCCTTCATGTTACTAGCTGAACTTCACCTTGAAAGTTGGTTGCAATTGTAGTCAGGTAGCTTCCACCATTTCTTAAAAAGTGTGGTGTTCCGTTAACTAGCGATGCCTGTTGTCACTGTAATTGGTTATATGGTCAAACTTCAGAGATCATAGTTGATTTTTTTATCAATATGGATGAGGTTTAAGTTGTCTTCAATTGAAAAGATAAATATTTAGATGTTACTCCTTCAGAGCCTAGTAAAAGGTTGTGATTCACGACTACCATAAGTCATAACGTGTAGAAACTATTCTGATTACTTCCAAAGGATGTTTTTTGTATAAATATTGCCTTCAAACCAAAGTTTAAAGTACCGGAAAGGCAATTTTAAGACTTATCTGAATATGCTTTGGATACACGTACATATGGTGGAAAAATTAAGATGCACATATACACTAGAGAAGCTCAACTAAATCCTAAAAATATATAAATTATAATAAATCAAAAGTGCTAATGCCTACAAAGAAAATACATAAGATTGCAGCAAAAAAAAGTTGTATAAACATGCAACTTTTTGGTTTTTAGTAGTTTATGTGAATTGTAAATTATCGGGATACATTTAGAACCAATTGGAAATGGTAGGATAATTAAAATATGCATGCATAGTTCAGCAAACTGATATTATAAATATCATTAATACTTAGAAATAAAGGGCAACCCAGTGCATGAAGCTCCCCCGCTAATGCAGTGTTTGGGGAGAGACAGATGTATGTAGCCTTAACCCTGATAAACAGAGAAGCTGTTTCTAAGATATGAACCCTGGTCACCGAGGTCACAATGGAGCAACCTTACCAATATGCCAAGGTCCACACCCTCATGCTTAGAAAATAATTAATTTTAATAATCAAGCATCTCTAAATTTAAAAATTTAAGATCTATATAAATTTAATTAATACTGGTATGTTGTAATAGTAATATTATATTCTTTTAAATAGATAACCAAGATCCAAACTTTGTTAGTTGAAAATGAACTTGATGTGCTTTAATAGGACTAAGCTGAAATGCATGGGTATAATAATGAAGCTTACAGCTTATGCAAATTTGGGAAAGTTGTCATGGAGCAGTCTGGTGAATATTTTTCTTTCAAATGGGCAACTTAGGTTGAAAACCTACCGACATGATTTTTTGCATAGGAGTTATTTTAAATTGAGTTAAAAGGAAATATTTGAGTTAATTACAAAGAATTAATGGTTGAATTTGAATGAAGGTTCAAAGTATTGGAAGGACAATTTTAAGTGATGTATTGGGATATGCTTTGGATGTGCATGGATATGCAATGGAAACTGATAAATCTAAACAATGCATCAATGAAATCAAATCTAAAGTCTCAAATGACTGTATATATGTATATTTTAATAGTTTTTGTCAAGTGTGAAGTGTGAACTACCAGAATACATTAATGAAACATTAGGAAATTTTAGAAGAATTGAAATATGGTTTAAATTAAGAATGATTATTAATTTCGATGATCCAATAATTGTTTTATTTTTAATTTTTTTTGTTGATAATATTAATAAAAAAAAGGTTAATGAAAATAGCTTAGAAATTTGAAACTTAAAGGAACATGTCATTTTTGCAAATTGTGAATTTGTGATAGTATTGCCTTGGTAGAAGGATTCCTCTTTCATGTGGGTAATTTAATTTTGAATAGTGTTAATTAATAGGATGATTTAAATTTGCATAGGTAGGTATCCATTTAGTTTGTGACAAGTGATATCAGTTTGTAATGTTTGAGTATGCATTTGTAACAGTCGAATATCGGTTTAAGAATAGAGTATTTCTTTACAATGGTTGAGGGTGGTTTATGATAATCATTCATGGGTTTGCAACAGTTTAATGGGTTGGTAACAGGTTGTAACAGTTGAGTATGAGATCATAAAAGTATGTAAAGTTGAATAAGTTTGTGACAGCTTATAGCAGTCAAGAGTATTGGTTTGTAAAAGTTGTTTATATCCAGACCGATATAAACACGATATGTACCAATATCATGTGATAGATATGGTTGGATTTGTCTAAAATTAGTAATTTTCTACCTTAAAATAACTAAACATTTGACCATATTAGTCGATACATATTGATGTTGTTAAGCCTTGCTGAATTTCAAATTTGAGTAACGATACTATATGAATGATACACCCATTGGTAATTTGGTATGCTTACTTATTGCAATCCAGATCTACAGCTCTACATTGGGAACATCTCCCCATGAATGGTACATAACATGTGTTCTCAATGTGGCTATGTGGGTAGGAGATCTGAACACGACTTATTGGCCGATGCACCATGAAAGCCAACCATGGATATATTGGCTGCCCGTAATTCCAAAATCCAATACACCATGGCAGCTTAGGCTCTGTTTGCACTGGTGTAAATGTGTGGCACAGTGCAAATGGGATAAGATAAATGCAATATCTGGTTTGTTTCTACTTCAGATTTGACCATGTCTTATTTGTTTGAAAGAATTAAAATGATGTGGTCGCCACTTATATGAGAAAGGTTAAGTAGAATGAAGTGTAAATTTGGCATCAGCTATTGGAATACAAAAATTTGCAAGTTTTGTATCAGGAAGGAGCACAAATCATAATTGCAAACAAATGAATGCAAAACTGGATTGGGTGCAAAATTTGTATTCAGATCAGATTTGCGCCGTAAGAAAATAGAGCCTAAGGCTCTGTTTGGGAATGAGTCAAATAGTGTAAATGCAAATATACAGATATTGCATACAAATGCACAATATTGGTGAGCTTTCTCGACTGGATGCTTTGATAGAATTACTTTCTTGCCAAACGATTTTTAGTTGTAATGGATGCAAACATGAAGCCCGAGAGTGAAACATATCTTTTTAACATTGAGCAACTTTGAATGCAAATGTACGTTCCTTTTTTTGATGTAAAATTTCCTCTCATTTTGGGTTGTAAACATGCCTTCGAAACTGTGTTTTCTGTCGATGTCAATAATCAAATGTATTCTTGCCAAACACTAGCAAAATTAAACCAGTGTACACTGAGATGACATTTGCATTCCTTCCAAACAAGCCTAAACTATAGTGAATGAAATGGGTTTGTGGTAAAATTGGTTTGGATGTGACAATTTTCAAGGGATTTATAGATATTAAACAATACACTTATTTTTGACAATTAATACCTCATTCTTTTTGTTGTTAAATCAAGACTTTCATTTCCCAATTATTTAAGAATAATAATAATTCATACTCGTTTTTTAATTATAAAATATTAGCAAATAGACGGCAGTCAAACTTAACATTAGTCTCCGGTTGGGATGAGTGCAAATGCAAGCAATGCATTTGTATTCTGGTTCAGTTTTGTTGGTCTGGTAAAAATGAATTTATGTATTGAGAGTGATAGTTTGCACTCAAAATAATAGTAAAATTTACATTGAAAAAAGCATAAAAATTTTTGCACTCAAAATTGAACAATGTTAAAAAGATATATTAGTTTTTTTTTGATACACAGTGAATTAATAAAACCTTGCAAAATAGGATAGCTACCTATAGCATCAATGGAAAGTGTTGGAACGGGTGGCCATAGGCCCTCGATTTGGAATTTTCAACATGTAGGAGAATCCATTGGCCATGTGAAATCTAAGGTTGTGCTCAAGTGTTGCTGGATCCATCAAGAAAAGTGGAGTTACTCTTCGTTTGCAGAATAGGATAGCTACCTATAGTGTCAATGGAAAGAACCTGAAAACCTCCTTCCCTCCATGTTGCACGTGAGCGTCCATTAAAGCATTTTACTGTTGCTTTTGAGTCTCCTTCGGTAATTATTGTACCCGCTCCACTAGATGTGGCTAGTATGTGTGCTTCATGGCTTGGTCTCATTTCTGTTAATGTTATTGATGGTTGTGCCAATTGTCCATTTGTATCTCTTGCAATGCACCACCCACAGGCACAAAGTTAATCTCCTTGTTTCTAGAGGCATCAAAGTTAATCGTGATAGTGGTTAGTTTTGGAAGGGTTCACTTCTCTCCCGCATTAATTTCCTTTCTTTAGCATGTCCTAATCTCAACCATGAACCATTCTTGGGCGTCTCTATAAACTCTCAAACTCTGGAGCGCCTTGGTGTTATTATTTGGCTTGGGTTGTACTTTTATTCTAAAGGGAAAATCTATGATATGGAAAAGATATGGTATGAGAAGAGTTTTGACCAATCAAAACCCACCTATGAATTTTGATAAATAACACCTGATTGGCTACCACGTTTATGATTCCAATTGATTGGTTAGAAAATTTTCAGATATCATATTTTTTCCATATCATAGTCAAACCCTATTCTAAAATATTCTTCTGTTCCTGCTTTTCCACACCTTACATAGAACGTAGGTGAGTTTCTCCCAGTCCCAGTAAGGTGTATACTATTTGTTCTATTTTGTTTTTCTTTCCAAGTAAAATTTGGATTCATATTAGCACCCATTACAATTAAAAGTTGTTTGGCAATAAAGTAAATTTACCAATGCAAAATTAAATCAACTTTGCATTTGCCCTCCAACTTAAGTAGTTTTATCCTTTGGGTGAGTTTCATGTATCTGACTTTTACTTTGTTGCCTCCTTAAGTAAACCATGTCCTCTGTCCTTGTCACCTTGAAATATTTAATCACCTGATCCGCCAAATCCAAAAGAAACATCAAAACCAAACAACAAGCTGTCTTGCCTTTTGCTCACCGGAGGGGTAATTACTAATTAGTTTAGTGCCCTAGGGAAGGGGCAAGCAGGCACGGCGCAGCATTTATTGGAAATCAATTCCGGTTCTCCATAAACAATGCACATGTTCCGTTGCTGTTTCATAAAGCAAGACCCCCCCCCCCCCGCCCTCACCCCCTTTCCGGCTTAAAGAAGAAGAAGAAAATAATAATAATTCTTTTTCTTAAGAGTTTGGAATAACAGTGGGATAGGATGGATCTTAACAGCATTACAATATTGAACTGAGAATGAGAATATTAATAGAGTTGACCGTGGATGGATCCCATTCCCAAATTTAAATATTTTATTTACACCTGAATATTTTCACTAATTTAGTCAGTGAAGTGTAGGGATGACATAACTAAACAGTTGTTACTTTGTTGCCGAACAAACAAATAATGCATAGGAATCGAAATATACATAATATATTATAATCTTAAAAAGGAAGGAAGCTTTCTCCCGACCTAATTAAAAAAGGTCTGTCCATCCAAATCCAAATCCAAATCCAAACCCCACCCCACATCCTTCCCCCGCAAGGCCACAACAATTTTTAAGGCCGTGAAGCAAGAGGGGAAAAAAATTAAAGAGCACCGCCTACCACTCTCTCTCTCTCTCTCTCTCTATTCACTTTTTTTTTAAAGGTTTGAATTAATAATAACAGAGCATTTTTCATGGATGGCCGATTTTATAAGAAACTTGGTGTCTAAGCAAGCAAGCAAAGCACCCACAGGAGAGGTGTCTGGCGCCCACTGGATTGAGGGAGGGACTCAGGAATCATCATTAATCATTAATCTTTCTTTTACATTTTAGTTAAAGCAGCAGCAGTCCCTTCCTCCTTATCCTTGACGCGACCACCCCCACCCTGGTCCTTGTTCGGTGGTGGTTTTGAATTTGACGAGTAAACAGTTGTGCGAGCATCAACACTATTCTGCTTCTTCCGTCTCACAGGTGCTGCAGGATCCACCAAGGGACCTGACCATGTTTGCATTGCTCCTTTTGAATATGTGAATGCTGTCGAACTGAATGGGACATCTGGGTGGTCGAATTCTGCGTCTATGTGATGCGATGAACCCAAGGGGTAACCCACTCCTCCATCTTGGTGCGGTGGTGGAAACTTCTCGCTCTTGCTCTTCGCATTTGCATGTGTAATTAGTCGCCGTTTCTGCTTTTTCAATAACATCCACATCCATTACACTTCGATTATTCAAACTATCAAAACTAATTGCATGCATTGCCCTACAGGAAACCCAGAAAAACTAACAAAACTCCCAAGTGCGTACTTAATCTTCTTATTACTCATTTTAAAACAATTATTTAGTGGTTTCAATCTCATAAATCTTCTGTAATGAATAATGGATATGCAAAAATTTGGTTCCAATCCATCATTTAATAGTTTCAAACAAGAAAATAGTTTTCTGAACCTCAAAACTGCGACATATTATCTCATCTTTTGCCATTCAAGACTCTCACGAACATTCCTTTTTATGAACCAGCAGCAGCAGCAACAGAAAATGATAAGACATTATTCTCTAACATGCACGTATGAAACCTAACCTTTGCTTTTTACCAAAAGCAAATCTGCAGAGGTCACAGAGCTGTTGATGCATTACCAATTATTGGTCCTAGCTATCTGGGGTCTTTGGAGGGGTGGATTGGATATGAACCTAACCTTTGGCATTTTTTTCCCTTTTTCACACAAAGTGGCCACTCTGGCCCCTTTGTGCATTTGACATTTCTTAAAACAAAATACTTTCTTTCCAGCATCACCATGAGCCATTACTAAGAAAAAAATTCCAAGTGCTGGTAGAGAGTTTCCTTGCCAACCATTTTATAGAACAGTTATCCTCATCCATATCCCCCACCCCGGGGAAAAACGAGTATAATGTTTTGGCAAATCTCAAGTATGCAGTGCATGATATATCTACTGTAAATATGATAAACAACAATTGGAAGAAGCAGCTTATCTGACATACATCAATATTGCCTTGAAGTTCAGCATTGGCTTCTGGAGCAGGAAATGCCCTTATTGGTCGATCACGTGCCCGAGTTTTCTTCACACCATCACCATTGGCTTTGCTAGCAGCTCTTAGCCTACACAGTATACAATCATAAATCCTCCAAGTCACATGAGATTAAAATGGATACTGTGAAGCGCTGTGTGCAAATGCTGTGCACATACTATGCACAGGACACTACAGCCTCCATGAATGACAGCATACAAGTACAGGGGAAGTTTCTGATGTATGGCTGTAGTGTCCTGTGCATAGCATGCACACAGCAGATCTGCATTCATAGGAAATTGGTAACAAAAAGAGAAGCAAGTAAAACAAAATAAATATTGTTTCCAGAATAGGGATAGCTACCGGAGCAGAAGTTCGGTAGCTTGTCATTCCCTGCATCATCATTCTAGAATGTGACACCTCTCACTCTCCCCCACCTCTCTTTTTGGTTTGCTAAAAGCTTAGATTCTATTATATGGGAAGTTTCAACAAAATTTCCATCCGCCCTAGGGGGCTTTGACAAAACTGTTTGTAGCATACTCTCAAGGCTCCACATACTTAACATATGTTTCACTCACCCAGTGAAACTCTCAATTATAACCAGATAAAATGTATTTGCATTCTAACTTTGTCACTTACCTTCTGGCTTCTTGATCTCGTAATTTAGCATCTATCTCCTTGCTTGGAGGATATTGTGGAAGGGTTGAAGGTTCACATGCATAAGGCTTGGTAGTGAAGAACTGCAAAAGAATGATCAAGTTTGTCAAGGGGTGATCTTCTACAGGGGAAAAAATCAATTACATTGAAATTCAAAATATTTAGTGGTTAGAACAATTACGAATAAATGTCAACAAACAGATGAATGACTCAGTTTCCTTATTTGAACAATACAGATGAAACCCATAACCAGGCAGATAAAAAGTTCGAAGCCTGCTTCATAGCTAGTTAGTTGTAACTAAGTTGTGCTTTTTCTGATTAAGAATGCATTTAACCTAAGTGGAAAACTACATGCAAAGACTTGTAGAAATAAATTAACTGCAGTGGCCAGAGCTTTAAGCAATCAGTAAAGCTATTCTTTTTTGCTTCCAGATCACAAAAGTTGCTATACACAGCATTGTTCAATGCAGTTGATGATTTTCTGCCTCTTTCTGTTCATCTATATCCCTTCTCCTTTCTTCCAATTTTCTCCTTTCAACTCCTTCATGTTGTTTTTCCTCCTCACCTATGCTCCTGTTACGTTTAATGAATTGTCATGAAATTCTTTCTCAGGATTTAGTGAAAATTAATAGAATAGAGTTTTTGCCCTAGAATTATTGTTCTTGAAACAAATACTTTTGCTGAAGAATAATACTTTCTCTGTTTTTTTATCACATTTTTGTATTTTGATTGAATGAAATCATAATCTTGTTTAACAAAATATGCCTAATGGGTGACCAGTGGAATTGAATTATTCAATGAAGTCCCTAAAGTAGATAACGTTTGCCTTCCATATGCAACAAAATCTAATTGGCTGTAATAAAGAATAGACATTAGTGAGGAGAAAGTGTATTCTCAGAAACCTGACGTGAGGCTTCTCCAGTTGTCACTTGTCAGAAGCCATGGGGTTAAATTTATGTTTTTATTGGAGGGAACCCAATCAATGCTTGTCTTTCTTCTGATCCATTTACTGAGGCCACTTCATAATCAACAAAACGAGGACAGGAAAATCTTTCTGAAAGCTATTTCACTGCAACTGCTCACAAGTACTTGGCAGAACCAACGCCAGAGAAGGTGAGCAAACCCTCTAATAGGGTAAGATGTAAATGATATACCACTTAAATCCACAGCCTAAGAGAATTTAACAAATGAAACTAAGCTGATATTCAAGATAAAGGTGCCTGATGGCTTCCACAACTTTCACTATGGTTCATATTCTTTAGCACAAGCTTCAACAAAATTAAGTATTTTATTGCCAGAAGCAGTTTTCTTGATATTTATAGCCCAATTTCAGTGGTTGAGGAAGTACTTAATAGACAAAAGAATGAAAGATATGAAAAAGAATGCAGTCTTAAACCTCAAGTAGGATAGAATGTAATACTCATGGAAAAAAGATTATGAAGTGCATGACTGTACATGCATTATGCAATCAGATAAAAGAGAGTGCATGTCAATCATGAGAGGCAGCAAAGTAGTTCCTTTTCCTTTTTTTTCCTGGTCCAAACGCTTTTCTTCATTCATTTATTCTACCAGAACAAAACTAAAGCAGACAATACAACCACCTCAAGAGAAAGTGAACAATCCAACTTAAAGAAAGGACCTAGCACACAGAAACCAATTCCTAATAATTTTTTATCAGCATGTTGCAAAGAAATAATTCAAAACATAAAAACAGAACAGACTGATTACTGGAATTAAAGAACTTACTTCACTCCTTAATGCAGCTGTGGCAGTCTGACGCTCAGCTGGGTCAATTGCAAGAAGAGTATCAATAAGTGGTAATGATGATGGTGGAAAGTCTTTAAACGTCTGTGCTATGCATCGTGTGTATGGTTGCCGGGGCTTAAAAACAGTTGCATGAGGCAATTTTAATTTTTTCCAATAATCCTCATTAGGAGAGCCACATAACTTGAAAATTTTATGCAGTTGCTCCACCTGAATAACAGAAAAGAATATAGTTAAATGACAATACAAATTTTAGCATTACTCTAATAATTTGTTCTTTAAGAAAGAGCAATATGCAGAAATATATGCATAAGCATAATAGATATAATCCTAGCCTGGGGATGCAATTCCAACAGGTTGACACAGGTTAGAAGCTAACCTGGTGCAAAAAGATTGAAATTTTCTTAGGGAATATGTATGCAGTTACTGTCTATTTGTCTTCCTAAAATCCCAGGTTGGCATCTTTAAGAATCCCCTTCAACTTCCAAATTCTAAAACTTATTGAGAATTTGAGATACTGTTTTTCAATCCTAAGGAAATCTGAATTTTTTCATTCTCCATGGTACTTGGCTAACGGCACATCCGACTTACATTCCAAGGTAGGGGAGATAAGTATGCCCTTCAATACATCTTCCTATGCATATGGTTTTATTTTCTTACTTTGTTGTTTTATATGTACCGACCGCTCCAGCTCTGTTTAGAGGTGGATGTGAGGTAAGAAAGGGATAGGTGGGGCAATGGGTGAGGAAATATCTGGGAGCATGCTTCATTTCATGAACAGCAAAGAAGAAGTAATGGGAAGTTGGAAACGGAATTTAGAAATTTATGAACCACAATTCATAGATGCTTCTTCCCTGGGTTCACTTGAATTGCAATTCAGATGTGAACCAAGGGGGCTCTATGAGCAGCTCTGGTCAATAACATTACACTACAATAGAAATGAAAATAAAAGACTAGTCTGAGGAGGAATCACAATTAACTCTATTCTCCATGCACATCCTCTAGCTCATCTATCTACTGAAGAGTCTGTGAACTTCCATATAATTTTGAACAAGATATTCACTCTAGATGTCAGAGCTCTCACCTCTCACATAATGCTAATACATTTAAAGGGTCAAAAACATGCATCTACTTGTGCCAACATCTAAATTCTAAAAATTTCTTTCTTTAGGACCACACTGCATCCAGTCTACCCATCCCAACACCCCAGTTAGCTGGGACCAACATTGGGTAATGACTTTTTTAATCTGCTTGTTTGCAAGGCCAAAAGCAAAAAAGGTATGGTGGCTCACTATTTCCAATTAATCAAGCCACAAAGCATACAGCCTCATACAACCATAGAGAACATTTAACAGGAATAAAACATATGAAATTTTTACTTGGCAACTCAATTTTCGTATGTTATGGTGTATCCCCCTTTTCTCTCTTTTCTAGAGTTTTTCCTTCCTTTTGACAAGAATAAGCATACAATAAGCATACTCTTAAATGCTCACTATTTCTACCCAAAAATATGTGCACTTAACCTTCAGCTTATTCTTCCAAATCTTGATAGGCATTACATACAAACCATCTTTTAATATTTGTAGACATTGGATACAGCATCAAATTATTCATGAAATTGAGAAATCATTTCCATGCCAAGCCCTCCTTATCCATGAAGCATTTAAGAGTACCTATTGTGTGTAATATCAACTAGTTCATGAAACATTCCCAATGGATGAACCCTAATCATTCATTGAGGGTCCCCATCTGTGGATAAGTTCTCATTGGTTGTATCATAAAGCTCCTTTGAGAGGGGAGTTATGAATCTCAAATTTTTTGAGGCAGCATGATACATATGAGAAGAATTTGCAACATACACAGGATTTTTAGTGGGAGATAGGATGGTAAGACTTTGGGAGAATGATTGGTCTGGGGAGTGGAGGTTGTGTGAATTATACCCATGATTATAGATCAAGCACTAAATTAATATGGCTAGAGAATACTTTAAAAGTAGGGGAAGCAGATTGTGTGGTGTCCGAGGTTTAGGAGGCCTTTATTGGATAGGGAGTTGGTAGAACACATCACTTTGCTTGCAAGATCAGAAGCTGCAAAAATAGATAGTGATACAAAAGACAAAAGATAGTGGAAAGAATGTTATGATGGAAAGTCTACAGTAAGATCTTTTTATGACGCAATGACAAGGGACTGGGGGAAGTTTCCAATGTGATAGGTGCATCCAAAGTCCAAGGTGCTTTCAATTCCATCTTCCTCAAAAGTTGTTAGGATTCAAATCAAGAAGAAAATATATAGTATTCCAGGCATATAATTCTGTGCTAAAAAAGGTGGTTAAAGGACAAATTAAGGTGCTGTAAAGAGCAGAGTCCGAGAACAAAAAAGATAAATAAATGGTCATGGCTCTCACATGATTTGGAAGATAAGTATGTAACCAAACTTGGGCATAGAGACATCAACCACCCCTAAATAGTTCTCTCAAGTGAAATTAAAAAGACTTTAGAGAATAGGAACAATGTTTAAGTCACCTCTGTATGTCCAGGCAGGATAGGCTTCCCGGCAAGCAACTCAGCTAGAATACAACCCGCACTCCATAGGTCCACACCTACACCATAGTCAGTAGCCCCTAGGAGGAGTTCTGGGGGCCGATACCATAAGGTGACCACGCGACTGGTCATGGGTTGCTTGTGGTTAGGATCAAAAAATGAAGCCAAACCAAAATCGGCAATCTTAAGTATTCCTCCATTGTCAAGAAGGAGATTGGAGCCCTTAATGTCGCGATGCAATACACCTCGGTTGTGACAGTGCTCAAGTCCTGACAATAGTTGATGCATATAGCATTTCACCTGCCATATCCAGAGGCACATACTAAGGAAGGAAAACAGAAGGTACTTTCAAGTAATTTCTATCAAGTGTAGTCGCTTCAAGAAATAATAAATCAGAAAAGTAGGCTAACCTGGGGTTCTGTAAACTTAATGCCTGGGCTTGCAGCGAGTCCAGCCAAATCATGTTCCATGTAATCAAATACAAGGTACAGGCTACATGACATCCTTGAAGTCACCAAGCCCTGTAATTTGACAACATTCGGATGATCCAACCGCCGCAAGATAAGAATTTCTCTTGCCATAAATTTTACACTTTCAGGCTCCAAATTGTCAAATCGGACCTTCTTTAATGCAACAATTTTTCCCGACAAAGTATCTCTAGCTTTGTATACATTGCTGTAAGTTCCTTGACCAATCTAAGAGCAGGAGAATCAGGTCTTACACTCAGAAACAAAACCAAATAAAGAAGATTACCGGGGGAAGGAATCAAAAGGCGTACCTTGTCCAGCTTTTCAAAACTATCCGCCCGCCTAGGAGTCCAACCACTGATCGCCTCACCGGCGACAGCAGAGAGCCAAGATGGCCATCCAGCAGCGACCTGCTCTCCATGTACATGCTTTGGTGGGTTGCTCAGTCTTGGATTCGGCCTGGACCTTCTCCTCTCACCCCTTGGGCGTTGACCCCCTTCCTGCTTCTCCTCCTTCTGGTTCTCCCCATTCTGAACCTCGGTATTCTCGATCTTAGTCACCGGAAGCTGCGACTTCCTACCCGACGAGACAGAGAGGTTCCTCTCATTCTCCTTCTCCCTTTCCCTCTCCTTTGCCTTGTGCTTTACCTTAGAAACCGCCGGGGACGATACCTCTCTTCCAAGTACACACCCCATTTCTCATATATCCCAAACCTCATCTCTCAGCACATCTTACTCCTCTTCTCCTTCATCCAGTCCCCACTCCCCACCGATCACCCGAAATCGAAAACCCTCCGAGACTTCCCAAGAACTTAGCTTCCGAATCCGCTATTCACCTCCTTGAATTAGAAACCCTAAACGTTACCTTTCCGTCATTCAATCTACCGAAGAAATGAGAAAGGTATACGGGCATAAAACCTACTCCAGGAGCCCTAAAGCTTTATTCCGACAAAGCGGTATAAGTAATGATTTGCAGTCGCCACGATTTATGGCAGTCAGCAACAAGTTAAAAAGGAAAAGCAAACAGTAAAAACAAACTTTTCTTGTGATTGCCGATCCGCCTCTAAAGTTGCAGACGATGGAACTGACTAGAGCTTCAATCTCCCTTGCTTGTTAGACCAGAGAAAACTTTTGCCCTCTACTTTCCTTTGACTCTGCCGGAGACGGAGAGAGAGAAATAGAGAGGGAGAGCAAACGAGCTCGCCGTAAACTGAGCACCACTTATTTATACTGTGATCAAGAATTCCGATCGTCGCAAGTCAAAGCTAAGCTCCACGGGATTAATGGATTTTTTTCCATTGTCCTACGTGTACTTGCTTACTAGGCACCACCATGACGCCACGTAATCCATGGCTCATTGCCACGTTGGCAGTTATGTATTTTGACGAAGATGCCCTTTGATGCGCATACGACAAAGTTAATAATTCTGTGGACCGGCAAGGACAGGACGGTCAAGTGCTCACGTGTGGCTTATGCTTCTAAAGCTCACTGTTTCTGTATTTTTCGTTAAGAACTGCCTGTCCATTTATCCCGTACATCACTTAGCTGTAACGCTGTTTTGCTCTCAAGGTCGCATTTGGGTAAGTGTGAATGCAAAATGTTTTGGTTCATGAAAATGTAAATTTAGTTTAATTTTGTATTGATAAATACATAATAAAAAACTAGGGTAAAACACAAAAACCTCTCTGAAGTGTTTACAATCATAAAAACTTAAATTTTGAGAAATTCAACAAAAATTTCCTTTCTGTCACCTTACGGAAAACGTTAGATTGATGTAGCAGTTTCTTTCAAATACCCATTCTACCCTTTTATAAATTATTTTACATACAAAATTACTGAATAACCATGTTTTAATTCGACAAAAACATTAGAAGATGATCGTTAAAAGGAGATTTTTGTCGAGTAAAAAAATAGGGTTATTTCAGTAATTTTGTATGTAAAATAATTTATAAAAGGGTAGAATGGGTATTTAGAAGAAATTGATGCGTCAATCTAATGTTTTCCGTCTAAGAAAATGACGGAAGGGAAGTTTTTGTCAACTTTCTCAAAAGTTCAGGAGAGGTATTTATTAAAATTAAACTAGAAGGAAAGTTTTTATGATTGTCTTCAGGGGAGGTTTTTGTATTTTACTCAAAAAAGAATTTTACTTCTAGTAAAAAATGTTTGATTTTGAAAATTATACTAGATGGTCAAACTGTTTGACCCAAAAATCAGCCATGGCACTAGGCCCAGTTTTGGACCCAATAACCATAATCCAAAAGGTATTCTTCTTGCCAAATACCTGTAAAACTATGCAAATTTGTTTCAATTCATCAATGTAAAAAGATGGATTTTAGTCTTGAAATTTATGTTTGTATCCATCACAATTAAACAGAAAGGAGATTATGAACCATTTGGTTGCACATTTATGAAATAAAACAGATGTACTTCTGCTCTCCTGTGTGCTTTAATGTATATTTGCATTTGTGATGCTTGGAGTAGAACTACCCCGGTTCCTGGTCTTGTGTAAGCCAATATTACGAAAAAAAGAAGGGAGAATGACCGATAACCCCAGGGTTAGAATTTGTAAGCTCAAAGTACATTTGGGGTAGGTGTCAGTTCGAAATTGATGCCAATTTACGGGTAGGTATGGGTGCATAGAGTGTGTTTTTTGGACCTTCTGAATGTTTATAGCTTTGCGGTGAAAATCAGAAATCTACAGTAGGCCTGTCCATACTTTTTCGAAAAAAGAATCATTTATTGAAATTTGGCCAATGGGATGGTAGCAATTATCATCTCTGTTGCATTCAAGGCCAAATTCCATGCCCCTAACTTACAGGGTTGCCAATGAAGCTGCTCACATTGATTTGAAGTAACTACATTGGCCAGTTAGTCCCAGGAACCAATCCAAACAAGAGAGGCAATGACGAGATGCGGAAATCTTCACCTAGGTTATGTTATGGGGCTCTTATGAGAGGCATTTGCCTGTGTTGAGAAATCTGTACCCAGAACTCTTCTGAGAAGATGTCCAGATGCGGAGACCTAGAGGGTGAAACCCAACCACGGATCTCATTAATGGCATTTCTGAATTCTATCTTTTAGAATTTTGGCTCTGATGACTTGTGTCCAACTCCTACAACTTATGGTGGGTGTGTATCGTATCATCTATCATCTAGTGATGTGCTTTGACAGATCTGGTAGGCACAGTTGTTATCATGGAGAACAAGAGAGGTGCGCCGCTGCTGCAACTCCCTTGTTATCATGGCCGTAGAACACATGAACAAAGGTCCTACAGCGGGAAAGAAGGATGGAAGGGAATAGGGGAGAAAGGATAGAGAGGAATCAGGAGGAGGCTGCTCTTCGTGGACGATGAATATGTCACAGGATGGGTATTTTAGGAATTTTAGAAAATACTAGTGACATGATGTCACATGTAAATGGAGTGTGATGGAAAGTTAATTATCAGAAACAGTATGAATACTTTAAGACAATATATAAACACTAAGGGTAGAATTAATTAATCAACTAAATAGTAGTGATAGTTTAAGAAATTTTTAACCAAAATTGATTGCAAAGGATTATGTGGTCTTTATAATGTTTTTCATTGAGATGGGTGCCTGAAATAGTATATTTCACCACTATAGCCCTTTCATCTAGGCTCATTTTCCTTCTCACCAAGAAGCCATTTCGTCTCCTTCCTCCTCCAATCCTTTTTTTTTTCTAAATTAAATCATCTGTTATTTTTAACAAATAAAACCTCAAATCCCAATCCTTAGTGAAGCCAAATCAATCCTATCTCCCTCTCAATCTGTTATTTTTTCTTCACATCTCTTCCTATTCTCTTTTTTTGCACATGTGCATATTTATTTTTAAATATAATCATTAAACATATAATTAATAAGTTAAAATTAAAACTCTCATAGGTCTTAATTGTTTTTCACATGGGCAAATTTGTTAAGTTTTTTACTGTTTACATATTGTCTTAAATTATTCTTAAGTTTCTGACAACTGACGTCATTGTTAATTATTAATAAAAATGAAATGTCAAATTTACCCTCCACTATTCCTTAAAATTTTAAAATAAAACCCAATTAATAAAATAAATTTAAAAACTGTAAGATAGTATCATCCATTATAAAAGTGAAGAGGATGAATGTAAGGCAGAGAAAGTTCTTCGCCTGATCGGTTTTAATGGTTTTCAAGGGGGAGGTGGTTAAATCGGTCTCATTTCTCCTGCTCTCGCTTGCTATCTTCCTAACTTCCTCACAAGCCAAGCCCATCATTCAGCAGCCTCAGCCTTATAAATCCTTCGGTCTGAAGATCCAAAACACCCAGGTACCAGCAGACATCAAATCAAGAACACCCTTTTGATCTCTCCCTTCGTTCTTTACTTATCTTTTCTGCTTGCTTTCTCTACAGAGTTTGAGGAGCTGCTCTTATACAGTGACCATAAGAACCAGCTGCTCTTCAACATCATACACCCGAGACAATATCGGTCTCGCTTTCGGCGATTCTTATGGTAATTAGGTTTGTACTGTCGTGCCGATCAATCATTCTTCGGTTTCTCTTAATCTTCTCTGGTAGGATCAGGAACCAATGGGAGCATTCGAAAGGTTTTCGATGGATACGTTCAAGATGAGCAGACCCTGTACCTACTAGCAGATCAATTATTTGTATCCGTTCAGGACGGGTTACGATGGTTAGAAACCAAAGCCTATGAAGATCAGTGGCTCCTATGTTAAGACTGTCACATTTTAATACGACACTTTCATTCCTAATGGAGTTTGGTTCAGATTCAATCTCTGCTTTGAATTGTCCACCACATCTACGATCGAGACCTCGACCGTCCTTCAACCTCAAGGTCTCAAGCTTCATGCTAGTTTCAGCATTCTCCATTTCCAACCCAAAGTAAAGGACCTTCCCTAAATCCAATCTGACCTATAGTAGAATTAATCTTTATCAGTCTGTTTTATATCCCAAGAGGACTGTAAAAAAAGGAGAATTCAGCGAATTGAGGTGCTTCAGGAGTCAATTTAACCAGAGAAACGTGATGAAAATCTGAGAGGGGCCGGGTTGATCTTTCCAGGCTATCAACAGTTCAAAACTTGAGATGTTATCATTTCGATAGATCTAAACAGAATAGTGACAGTAGAGAATCAGAGATTGAGAAATTATCCCTCAGACATTGAAGAAAACGACGATCGACTTCATGCAAACTGTTTCTTTTCAATTTATTTCCGATATCTATTTTCTTTGTTTACCCTTTTTACTTCATTTCTTCTTTTGGGGCAAATGGAGTAAGGCAGACCCACAAGGTCTCCAAGGTTCGGTGGCTTCAACAACTGATCAGACGCACGCACATACGATGGGCCCAGACTGATCGGAGACAATGAGGGAAAGAACTGATCTGTGTAACAAATTTTGATGCTGTGGGTTTTGTTAACTGATTCTTTTGTGGGATCGCAGATTCTGATCTGCCCAGCTTGCCTTACCTTCAAGCCATAGTGAAGGAATCCCTTCCGATGCACCCTCACGGTCCCCTATAAAGTAGTGGCGTAACGGGGAGAAATAAAACATGTAGCAGACATGGACATAAGAAAAGCGGAGATGGCGGAAGTAGGAATTTCGAAGGGGAGATGGCTTGGTCAAGCAGTTTAGGAATTTAAGGTTTAAGGGTATTTTAGGAATTTTAAAAATTAACCAGTCAGTCACATGATGATGTCATATGTAAATGGAGTGTGCTCGAAAATTAAGAGTAAGAGAGGTTTTAGACAATTGTCAGAAAACTTAAAAATAATTTAAGATAATATATAAACAGTAAGGATAGAGATAATTAATTTCTTAAACCATAAGGGTAATTTAAGAAATTTGCCCTTCTCACAATTAATAGTCAAAATTAAATCATGCCCAATAGGTGATGGTCCTCTCACCATAGATCTCACATGTGCTCCTCTCTCTCTCTCTCTCTCTCATACAAACACACACTCCTTAATAGTCAATATTTGCGACTGATACACATCGTATTGGGAGCTTCCTAATATGCCCCTATAGAGGGTGTATCGGGGTTTTGGTCGGTTCAAGGGGTGGACGAACCTTAAAATGGTCCCTCTAAATCGGATTTGAAAAAAAACTAAAAAAATAACTATTGATATGCCTCTACCGACGTATTGGGTGTATCGATATTTTGAACCTTGGTATTGTATTTGTACTTTTCCCAAACTAAGCCTAAATCTCTCTTAATCCCTTATGGTTCT